CTCCCAAGCCATGGTCGCCCATTGTTGGGGAGAAGAATCCTTGAACCTTGCGGTTTTGACTAGCACTTCGAATTGCTAGATAATCGTCGTCTTGTTTTCGTGTGGATACTGAGAGTTTACTCTCGTCTCAGAGTGTGAGCGATTCGCATCAAAGAAAGAGCCTCCAAACGGTGGTATAAAACCTTGAACGTTTTTATTTAGTATCGGTTTATATGCTAATAATGTAAAAATTGTGTGTAAGGATCTAGGGCTTATGGTTGTTGTTGGGGATCTTTTAATTTCCACTACGTAAAACTCCATACAACAACTAACACATTGAAAAGGGAAAAATCGTAGTTGAGAAGATACCTACAGCAGAGAATCCAACAGATATGATGACCAAACCAATTCCAATAGCTAAGTTCAAGCTTAGCTTGGACACTATTGGATGTTTCAGATAAGCTATAGTATCGAGGAGAGGCAAGAGAGGATAATATGTAATGATTGTAGGAATTCAAGCCAAGGTGGAGAATTGTGAAGGTGTCTTGAATTCTCCATTGGGAAGACACCTGGAGGCTTTAAGCGATGACCAAACTTCTTGATGGCAGCTGGACTCTTGGATGATTGTTGGCTCGGTTTGGTAAAGCAATTTGGAAGACTCTTATAAGCTAGAAATCTGGTAGCATGAAAGAAAAACACCTAGAAGCTATCTTCTTGATGGCAGCTTGAGAGAAAAAAGTTTGGAGCGGTTGAAGGCAACTGAAGCTATCTTTAGTGGTGACTAAGCTTGAGAGGAAGATAGCTAGAGTGGTGGTCGACTGAAAAATCTCTATATAAGGGCAACATAAGCTGCGGAGATGAGATGTGAAAATATGAGTAAGTTAGAGTGATTTTGAGAGGAAAAATCAAAATACCAAGTCTCATATTTGTATCCGTAGGAGAGTGTTGCGAGAGAGGAGAAAATTGTATTATCCCAATTACAAAGTGAATGGTTTTTTCCCGCAAGGGTTTTCACGTAAATCTTGTGTCAAATATTTTATATCTCCACAGCTTTACGTTTTTTGGCATTTTTCAATACAATACAAATAATATTGCGATGCCATATTATCCCAATACAGACTTTCACATGGAGAGAAATGAATACGAAAAGGAAGATTTAGATTTATTGGAAATTTTCTTTTAGGTAAGTGGTAATTTTATAAAAGAATAAACAATACAACCTAAAGAAGGAAACTCTCCTTTAGAGCCAAGCAGTGTACCTTGAACAGACCCAAGGGACCAAAATATACAACAGCAACAAAAGGGAAAAAGGATATACAATTTCTATGAACGAAAATACTAACCTTCAGACAAAGAATATCAGCAAAAACCAATGGAAAAATAGGCACAAAAAAAAAAAAAAAAACCCTCCTAGTACCATATGGGCCCCGAAAAGGTAGCCACTGTACACCCCACCAAAAATCAAGCAGATCTCCTATGGCGGAAATTTAGAGTGTCTCAGGTAGAGAGAATAATTTGTAGCACCAAAAGGAAGAGTCGATCTAGGCCTTTTGTCTAAACATATCCAATTATCTTTAAAAAAAAAAAAATAATTTCAATTTCAATTTCAATTTTTTTTTTTCTAATTTGTGAATTTGTCAAATTTGACTCTAAGTATAAGGTGCACGCAATCTAGCTCAAATACCCTCAATCATCAAAAAACACAATTCCGGTATAAGTGTTATATGTAAAAGATTACCCAACTTTCACACCTTCTCTATAGTTTTAGCTTGACTTCGAAGCAAGTTGCTTTATTCTTGCATAACTCAAGTCTTTGCTAGCCATGACCCACAAGAAATTTAGCATGTCAATAATATTACCACCCACAACCTTTTTATACAAACTTATATGACAAAAGATGATTGGATGAAAATTTATTTAAAATTTAAAATCACCCAATCATCTTTTGCCACATAAGTTTGTGAAAGAAAGTTTGTATAAAAAAGTCGTGGATACATATTTCCAAAGCCCCCACATTCTCACTATGTACCCAATTATGATTCCAGGTGGGTCTCTTAACCATTTAATTATTGGTCGTTTGATCGTTTCGTCAACCACTAACCTTCATTTCACTTACCCTTTTTATTTTAATTTAAGTTGACAAAAAGATCTATTTATAAAAATAGGGCAATAATACACTTACAACTCAATCTAACAAGTTTTCTCTAAAAAAACAAAAATGAAAGTTAGCAATTAGTCAGCTTGAAATAGGTATAGAATACACAATTAAGAAATACCACGTAAAAGTTATAAGAGAAAATTTGTAAAATAGAAATGTGAGACAATCTTTATTAATATAAATATCTTGACGAATCTGAAAATAACAAAATGGGAGTGTAACAATCTTTAATACTATAAAATTGTGTGCCCATATGAACTATTTATAACATGAAAATTTTAGGTCGATAAGATAAAAAGAGGAGCAACAAAAATCTCAAAACTTATATAATGGATAAATACAAAATGGGAAAACAAAAAATATGATAATCGTCAAACTCCCATACAATTGAAAGTGTACTCTAAACCGAACAAGATTTCCTAGTTATCGATTTTTTCAGTTTGGTTTGGTTCGGTTACTGGTTCCAATTCGAGTATTGGATATTTTTTAACACCCCTATTTATAAGTATCGGGAGCCATCTTAGAGATTTTGCTTTAATTATTGTTAATTTCGCCTAATGGAGGATAATTAACAATAAAATTTAATTATAAAGACCTCCCTTGAGGTTTCAACATATCACATATGCATAAAAAAAATATCATTAGCTTAATACAAACACCTCAACTCCTTTAACTTCAAGGGCTTCGTTAAAGAAATTTTACAAAGTAAAAATTTAAAAACTGAAAAAATTAAAATATATTTTTTTGAAAATTGAAAATTAAATATTAAATAGTAATTTAAAAAAAATAAGATTATCGGTTTCAACAATCTAAGAATAGTGGTTCCGACGATCGCTAATTGTTGGACACCTCTTTCGGAAAACAAAGTATTTTTTTTAAATAATATTAAATCTTAAATATATTTTATTTTAAAAATTGTTTTCTAAATATTTTTTTCTATTTTGAAATATTTAATTTATAATTTTGTGCTTTAACAGAAAAGGTCTACTTTTCCCTTCCCTCAAACCATCTTCAACCCATTGCACCAAGTTGGTGCAAGTTTTGCACTAAATTAGTACAAATTTTGGTGTAAAACATTATTGCATCTCCAACCCACTACACCAAATATTATACCAAAAAGAATATTCCTTAGAATATTCTCTTTCTCTTTCTTTTTCTTTTATTGTAATAATCAACAATTAATCTATTTCACTCATTATTTTTGTATATATTAATTAAATATTGGGACTGATATTTTTATTAAATAATAATTACTTTGAAAATTATACTAATTTAATAAAATTAAGCATTTATTTAATCAAATAAACATTACATTTAATATAGAAAAACATTACATAATATAAAATGATACCAAAAAGAAAAAATAATAAATAACAACAGCACAAAAATAAAATTTCATATTGATAGTAATTTAATTTTCTGAATTAGTATGTTCTGCCCACAAATGATCAATTAATGCATTTCGAAGAACATGGTGAGCCGTTGTATGAATTATATCATTATTATGAATTTATTATTATAAATATTAACATAAATAATAATCAAATTAAATTAAATACAAATAATCAAATTTGATGTAAAATTTAATAATCAAATTAACTTAACAAAATTTAAAAAAAAAAATTGATGGTGCTACAGTGCCACACCAATTTGGCGCAGCAATTAGCACTGGGTTGGAGCAAATTGGAGGTGCCCTCAATCAACTTTCACGCCAAAATTAATGGTGAAGGATGTAAGGGGTTTATTATAGGGAGTAACATGTTAGTTTTGTATATTGGAGGGCGTATAAGGGAAATAACCTTAATAGAAGTTAAAGGATCGGGGCAGTTGTGTTAACCTAATAATCTTTTCTACGTGCCTATAAAATATTGAAATCTCAGGGGAAGTCTAGTAATTAACTCTAACAATAATTAGAGAAAGAGTAATATTAGATCTATAATATTTTTTATACAACATGATATGACAAAAGATTATTGGGTGAAAGTTTATTTTTAATTTAAAATCAATCAATTATCTTCTGTCACATTATATTGTATTAGAAATGTTGTATAAAAATATTATATGTGTAGTATTATTATGCAAATAAAATTAACCGAACCTAAATGTACATTTGCTTGTACTTATTGCTTCTATCTCTTTCATCGTTTAACATTGTTATATAACACAATTTAATGTTCTCATCAATTGTCTAATTTGTCAAATAGCATGCTAAAAATGATTAATTGATTTTAAATAAAAAAATAAGAATAATACTACAAATACAATATTTTTATACAATATGACATGACAAAATGCCACAACACTTATTGCAAAGTATTAAATACCTTTAAAATTACCAAAGAAACCCTAAAAATTATCAGAAAATTGAATAAAAAATATCAAAAACCTCTTACAGATATTAAAAATCCCTTGCAAATATCAAAACCCTTTGTATCTGGAGGCATTTAATAGTTTCTAATAATCATTTGAACGTTTTTAAATTAAGCATCAATAATATTATACTTACATAAATTTTCATACAAAATGAGGTGACAAAAAATGAATGGAATAGTGAAACAAAAAGTCAAACTCATTATATTTACTCTTTCATTCATTTTTTTAATCACATCACTATATTTGTAAATCTTTGTAAAATTTCTTTATAAATATAGCATTACTCATAAACGTATGAAATCAATCCGATTTAAGTTGATTTAACTCAAACCATTATTTATTTTAACCCATGCATCTTTAGGAAAAATTAGGATTGGGCCGGCCCAGCCCAGCCCAACAAGTCTATAGTAACATTAGAATCGGCCCAGCCCAGCCCAACTCCTTTCGCGACCTTGATGCCATAAACCTTTGAAAACTCACAGAAGAGACCCTCAAAGTCAGAGATGGAAACAGTAACAGGGAAGTTGGTAGTTGAGAAAGTGAGAGGGAAATCAACTGTCACAAGATGCTTCTCTAAATACCCTCTTAAATTCATCATCCCCAATAAGGTTTTAAGCTTTTCTCTCTTCTTGTTCTCTCAATGTATTTATTATTTATTTAATTACATTTCTGGCCCGGTAACGTTACTGGTTCATTGCAGGTGGGTTCTTCGGAAACTGATGCGGTTTGGATTTATACTCTCACTTATGGTGGTGGGATTGTTTCTGTATGTTGCATTTCTTACTCTTTTGCTTTGTTTGTGAATTGTAGCTCTTCAAGTTTTGATTTTTTTTTTTTTTAATAAATATGTGTTTTTGTTGTTAGGGAGATTCTATTTCTTGTGAATTTAGTATTGGAGATGCCTGCACTGTTGTTTTAACTACCCAAGCTTCCACCAAGGTGTATAAGTCTCTGGGGTCTAAGTGTTCTGAGCAAATCATGGAGGTAAAATTCTTGTCTAGAATGCCATTGGAAATGCTTCTGTAGAAAGCACTTTGACTGATTTTAAGTAAATAAAAAGTAATTCAATGCTTTCTTACGAGAAAAGTGCTTTTCTTTTAGTTGTTTTGATGAAAACCAACAGGTATCAAGGTTTTTTTTGTTTTTCTTTCAGAAGACACTTAACCTATTGCTATGAAATTAGCACAAAAGCGCTTTTAATGGTGTCAAAAGTGCTCCAAAACACAATCTATCTCATTTTTTGTCAATCTTTGTTATGACTCTGGGGTCTAAGTGTTCTGAGCAAATCTTGGGGGTAAATTCTTGGCTAGAATGCCATTGGAAGTGCTTTTGTAGAAAGCAATTTGACTGATTCTAAGTAAATGAAAAGTACTTCAAGTGCTTTTCTTATGAGAAAAGTGTTTTCCTTCTAGTTTGTTCATGAAAAAAACAGCTATCAAGTTTTTTTTCAGAAGATACTTAGCCTATTACAGTGAAATTGGCAAAAAGCGCTTTTAATGGCATCAAAATTGCTCCAAAACAGAATGTATCTCATTATTTTTCAGTCCTTATTAAGACACTGCCTAGTGCTCAAGCCTTGGTTGTATCTTGTTTTTGGCTGCGTTAATTGATTGTTATGTCTTTCTTACTAATGCTTGCAGTTTAGTGCATTGATGTAAAGCAAGAAGTAAGACTTGTAATTCGATGTTTTGTAGACGCAGTCATAATAAAGTTAATGATTTATGAATTTATATTTGGTATGGTGAATGGTTTGAAGTGACAGCGGGTTTATCGTTGCCATGCAGTAGGCAAGAGTTGGAAGTGGTGCCCTTTTAGCTGTGATTCCGGATCCTGTGACATGTTTTTCCACTGCAAGATATTCTCAGAAACAAATCTTCAGAGTGGTTTCAGACTCAAATTTGGTTATTGTCGATTGGATTACCAGTGGACGCCATGAAAGTGGCGAGAAATGGGATTTTCAACTATATAAGAGCACCAACAACATATTTGTAGATGGCGATCTGCCTTTGTTTCTCGATACGGTAATTTTTCTCTCTATTATTATTGTTTCAATTTTCACATGGAAAATTTTCAGATATCCTCATCACTTGCAACTTATCGGTTTCATTGTCAGTTAATAAATGTGCATGCCTTAGTCTCTTGAGTTTCTTAGATATTGAAGTGGGAACATTTTATGTTTGTAGATAACTTGCGGGAGCTTATCATCCCAAAAGTTGAGACACGGAACTTCCTCTTGGAAGCATTACTATACAGATTGTTTTGTTAACCATTTTTTGCTTGACTATACCTCAACAGTTCCATAACAATAAACTTGTCATCAGTTAGCAGCCATCATTTGTTCTTCTTTATTTTAGTGAATGATAACAATTCCATTTATGGTTCTAACTTTCTGATAACGTCTACAATACGTTTTGTTTCTGAAATTTCCCGAAACTGTCCAGTTTCAATTTACATCCAGCCGTGCATATTGTTTATTTCTGGTTCTCTAATGGCATGTTACTTCTACTCCTGTGTCTACAATACTCTATTTGTAATCTCTTATGTGTAGTAGCTGGTATAATGATATATTGTGATTTATGTAGCTGAATCCGAACTGTTGGGCAAGAGACATATCTTAGCTTAGTGCTGTTTGTGGTAGGCATGGGAGAGATTTGATGCCAAGCTCATAATATGAAATTTCATTTGCTGTTCATTGGCACCTTTTTTGTTAAAATTTGAAGAACCTAGATATGATAGAACGTATGCAAACTCAGGTTATATAATATTTTCATTTATTTTTAACTTCCATGGTAAATTATTGACCCTTTTTTTCTTAAAAAATATTATTACAAAAGTTTCAGCCACATGCATTGAAGGTTGTAGACTCATACATCTTCATATATTTCAGTGTCACAATTAGTTAATTGTTTTGTTACAGGTACTGCTAGAACAAGGAGGCATTACCAACATTGCAGAACGCATGCGAGATTACCAAGTCATTGCAATGGTCATACTTTTGGGGTAGATACTTCATCATGTACTATAACTTATCTCCACCTTGATGATTTTACAAATTTTCAATGTGGTTTTGTTAGTTTCGTTATGATGAAAAGCTATTTTAGAAATTGAAATTAACTGATCAAAGTGATTGATGCATTATAGGCCAAAGCTGAAGCATATTCAAAATCAAGTTCAAGAAAATGTGAAGAGGGTGATGTCTGAGCAATTATACGCTCCTTCCATTGGATTGAGCCATCATGGGAAAACAAACTCTGATCATCGTTTGGCCAAACCAACCTTTATTGCTTCTTGTAGTGTCTTTGGTCCTAAGGTATGTTTGACCAATTTCATGGATTGCAATAGTTTCTGAATTTTATCCTAACTAAGACAATTTACACCTGTCTATTAGTGAGTAATATGATTTCATGTTATATGCTCTCTCCTGTGTGTATATATGATTGTATGTCTCACGATTTTTTGACATTTTTGTATTAAATGTTGATGTACAATGTAAAGTATTGATGGATTGTTTCTCTCTTTTTTTCATTGAAGGAGAATTGGATAACCAGTTAATCATATTATCATATACCATAGATTTATCATAATATACGGGATTTGCTCCTTTAGGGCAAGAAATTGTCTTTTTTCAAAGGGGTATGGGAATCAGTAGATATGAAAGCATCACTTCAATTATCCGGAACACTATTGTTATATCATCGTAACATGCTTCAAGGTTCCATTAAATTCTGTGTGTCTGCAGGGAATAGGTATTGTTGTTCGAATAGCTGCCATGACGACTGAATCAGTATACAGGTTCCTGCAGCATCAGTTATCTGGCATGGAGCCACTACTCGGGGTATCCCCGTATTGTTGAAAAGGGGCTCTGATAATTATTCGTCTCGTTGAAGTTATTGTGAGTATCAAATGAAGTAGCTTCTTTACTTTTATTAGGAACTTGAAGAAATTATGCTCCAAAATATGTATTGCAAAACCATTTTAGACGCTGAAGTTTGCAAAATTTTACAGGAACATGGAGGCTTTTTCCTGATGCGCTATCGTTGCATCAATCGGTTTAGAGAACAGGGTGGTAATAAACCAGTGGAGGACTTAACTTAAGGTTTGTAGCTCTTGCTATTTCTTTTGTGGGAAAGAAAAAAAATTAACCTTATGGACGTCTATCATGAAAGTAAGAGCTTAATTGAACTCATTGTATAAATTTTTTTTCTTTTTTTTTTAATGGAGATTGCTGTATGAAATATACTGTTCTTTTACAAAATTTGGAAGACACTCGCTGGAGCCCATTTTACGGTCAAAATAAATGGTTTTGCAGTCGTTTGAAAATTGCTACTTGAATTGCTTTAAAAAAAATCTTGGAAGCAATGGGTGTAACACATGCTCTAATTGCAATAATGTTACGTTTACAACCGCTTTCTCACAACTTTTCTCTCACAACCCTGACGTAACAGCTTGTAATTGGTCAGTTTGTAATGGATCACACTTAATAAAATTGCAGTTGACTAATTTCGAACTACCACGTCAAGATTGTGAGAAAAATGTTGTAAATGTAGCATTACTCCTCTAATTATACGTCAAACGAATAAGTTTGTGTTATGTATACATTATGCTCATGACTATATGTGGCAAAGTTTTTTCATTGACTTGGTATATAAATGATGTGATACGTGCATTGTACGTGACATGCAATCGATTTTCTCAATTTGTTTGCTTTTGTAGAATATTTTTTTCAACAATTATAATTTATTTACCCAACCCCACCATCACCGACCCAAACAAACATGACTCTGATACCATGATAAATAGACTTGAATAAAACTTGCTCGCAAAAGCTAGCTAAGAGCTTAAGAGAGAGTTTAACTATACACACACACATATATATACACCCAATGACAACCTATTAAATTGACGATACGAAACAAATATAACTTCTAACATCCACAGATAATATTTTCACCTATAAGATTATGGGAAGAAACTTAATTTCATAACTGAGATAATTAAACCAATTTAAATAAAATTTAATATTAATTCATCTCATGCATCTTCCCAATAAATCGAATTTGATGACAAGAAATACAAAATCTTGTTCCAAACAAGTAGTGCATAAATGCATGTAGATAAATAAAGGTACTAATTACAATGCTATTTGGTTTTTAATTTCCAAAAGATAAATTTGTACTTTAAATTATACTACAAAAACTAGGTTCATTTAAATGGGTTTGATTATTTATCGAATTAAAAAAAAAAACCTCAGTTTTTTGAACACCTTTTCTTTCTCTTATGGATTGAACATCAATTAACCATTTGAGAAATAGTCTATTGAGATATATATATATATAAGAGATTTTCTCTTTAGAGAGAAAATGAAGATAAAATAAAATAAAATAAATAAAAATATTAAGATGTTCATGGAAACTCATCCTGGGTAACTCAAATGGTAGAACCAATGATGTGATCTATGGTTAAGATGCACGATCTCAGGTTCGAATCCCTCTGACTTTCAAGATTTAAATAGGTGATTATGACAGTAATATGATATGCTAATTATCTATAGAAACTAGTCGAGGTGCGTATAAACTGGCTCAGACAACTAGTTTAAAAAAAAAATGTTCATAGAAGAAAATGATTAGTATATATGTGATATGTATTAAAATAAAATTGAAATGAGAGGAGATTCAAATTTCCTTAAATTAAGAGTTAAAAAGTAAAATATTAACATCAATGTTTGGGACTAAAAATAAAATATTTGAACTTAACAACAACATTAAAATAAAGATTGAAGCATGTCCTAAATTTTGGCTTTGCATAGAATTTAGCAAACCAAGATGAAGTTTTAAGTTTGAAGAATATATGCATGGCACATGACCTCCTAGTCAAAATGTTTGACCTGATTTTACTTAATAATTAAAGCAGTATTAGATTAAATTAAATTAATATATACACTAATCATGTTTTAAACAAAATTATTAAAATAATCCTTGTGATTAAGAAAGTACTTAATGATTGAATTGTTCAAAAACTCTCTTATGACCTTCTACATGTTGCCAACTTGCCAAATCCAAGACCCACCTCCCTCTTATAGAATCCATTTATCCTCAAATAATTTTTATTTACTTTTTTTTTTTTTTTAAGAAAGTGTTAGATATAACGAGTGTATCATGTTATTTATAGGTCTGTCTTATAATAGACTATTTGTTTTCATATACTTACTATCTACAACTTAGCCCCAACTAGACATAGATAATAACTTCTTATGCTTTTTATATTAGCAAAACTCTATCAGAATAATATATTCTCTGTTTTCGACCTGGGACGTGATCTTTTAACTTAAATTTGGTACATAAATTTTCAGTCGTGGATCCAATACAATCCAATGGTGTAAAATTTTTTGATATGGCAAACAAAATTACTATCTCCGAACTTTTTCTCACATCCATTAAATTGAAAAATATTCATGACCGAAAATAGTGTGTCTCAATTTAAGTCAAAAAATCAAGTTAAGAGATCTTGTTCCCCTAGATCCAGGTATTCTCAAAATCTAGTTTTCGGGTTTCTCAACCTATAACATCTCTTGCTTATAAAGTATAAACCATTAGCCTTATGGTCGGATGACAAGACTTTAGCCATTTGAGTGGGTGACTCAGAGGTCTTCTGTTTAAGTCTCACAAAATGATCACCTACAACATTTGTGATTTATCTAATCTATTAGACTTGTAAAGTGTTCAATGAACCACATGGATTAGTTGAAATATACACAAATTGGGCCGAACACTCGGTTATCAAAAAAAAAAACCATGGAACATGGAACTTGCAAGAAATTATGCTCCAAAATATGTATTGCAAAACCATTTTAGATGCTGAAGTTTGCAAAATTTTTACAGGGACATGGAGGCTTTTTCCTGATGTGCTATTTTCGCATCAATCAGTTTCGAGAACAGGGTGGTAATAAACCAGTGGAGGAGTTAACTCAAGGTTTGTAGCTCTTGCTATTTCTTATGTGGGAAAGAAAAAAAAAATTAACCTTATCGACGACTATCATGATTGTAGGAGCTAAAATTGAACTATATATATATATATATATTAATGGAGATTGCTGTATGAAATCTACTGTTTGCTGGAACTCATTTTACAGTAAAAAAAAATGGTTTTGCAGTCGTTTGAAAATTGCTACTTGAATTGCTTTAAAAAAAATCTTAGAAGGAATGGGCGTAACACATTTATTCTCATGAATATTGTGTGGCAAAGCTTTTTCATTGACTCGGCATATAAATGATGTGATACATGTATTACACGTGACATGCAATCGATTTTCTCAATCTGTTTGCTTTTGTAGAATAATTTTTTCAATATTATAATTTATTTACCCAAACCTATCATCGGCAGTCCAAATAAACATGACTATGGTACTATGATAAACGGATTTAGATATAATTCACTCTCAAAAGTTAGTTTAAAGGAAGATGGAGTCTAACCACATATTTACATTATAGTAATCTATCAAATCGGCGATGTGAGACAAATACAACTTTTAATATCTACAAATAAAATTTTCACCTATAAGATTGTGGGAAGAAATTTAAATTTTATAACTGTGATAATTAAACCAATTTAAATAAAATTTAATTGACTGTTTAAATAACTAATATTAATTCATCTCATGCATCTTCCCAATAAATCGAATTTGATGACAAGAAATACAAAATCTTCTTCATACAAGTGCATAAATGTGTGTAGATCAAGGTACTAATTACAATGCTGTTGGTTGTTAATTTCCAAAAGTTAATTTATGCTTTAAATTATACTACAAGAACTAGGTTCATTTACACTTAGTTTACTTCTTTCCAAGTGAACTGAATCTCACTTATTTCAATTTCTCCAAGATTATAAATTAATGCTATGAATATATCATTTAAATCAATAATGTTATTAAACGTTTTTCTAAGGAATAATAAATGTTAGAAGTTGTATTTATCACAAATCGCCAATTTGATAGACTATTATGGTATATATATGTGGTTGTTCTCCCTCCGCTTTTGAGCTAGTTTTTGGGAAGTGAGTTTTACACATGCCCACTTTAAATGGGTTTGATTATTTATTGAATAAAAAAAAAAAAAAAAAACTCATTTCTTGAACACCTCTTCCTTCTCTTCTGGATCAAACATCAATTACAACGATTTGAGAAACAATCTATTGGGGTATATATAGATGAACATACCCTACAGAAACATATAAGAGATTTTCTCTTTAGATCGTTCAGGAGAAAATGAAGAAAAAAATAAAAATTAAGATGTTCATGGAAACCCACCTTTGGGTAGCTCAAGTGATAGAAAGAGCGTTGGGATGGATGATTAAGGCGTACAGTCTCAAGTTCGAATCCCCCTAACTCTCAACATATAAGCAGGTAATCATGGCAGTAGGATACTGTACTAGTCACTTAAGGGATTAGTCGAGGTACGCGCAAACTGGTTCAGACACCCTATTTTAAAAAGAAAAATGTTCATGGAAGAAAATTATTAGTATATATGTGATATGTATTAAAATAAAATTCAAATAAGAGGAGATTCAAATTTCCTTAAATTAATAAATAAAATATTTGAACTCAACAACAAGGAGAGTGTAGATTCATGGCATACACATTAAAATAAAGATTGAAGCATGTTCTAATTTTTGGCTTTGCATAGAATTTAGCAAACCAAGATGAAATTTTAAGTTTGAAGAATATATGCATGGCACATGACTTCCTAGTCAAAATGTTTGACCTGATTTTACTTAATAATAAAAGTATTAGATTAAATTAAATTAGTATATACACTAATCATGTTTTAACCAAATTATTAAAATAATCCTTGTGATTAAGAAAGTAATTAATGATTGAATTGTTCAAAGATTCTCTTTATCTCTTATGACCTTTTACATGTTGCCACATCCAAGACCCACCTCCCTCTTATAGAATCCACTTATCCTCCATAATTTTAATTTTAATTTTTTTTTTTTTTTTTTTTTTTTTTGAGAAAGTGTTAGATATAATGATGTATCATGTTTTTATAGGTCTGTTTTATAATTAGACGATACAAAAATGATTGAAGAATATTCACGTTGAAATTTTTTGTCTCAACTGAAGTCAAAAAATTAAGTTAAAAGATTTTGTCCCTTGGATCCAGGTATTCTAGGAACCTCATATGTCATCAGAGACGATCCAGCCTAGTTTCGGTGGATCGTCATGGCCCACCCCATTTTTTTTTTAAAATACTAATAGCATATTTTAGATTTTGGCTCATCCTAATAAAAATTTCTAGATCCGTTACTGTATGTCATATACAAACTCGAAAACTCTTACATCAACAATATAAACTCTTACCAATAGTTTGTTTTCATACACCTAGTACCAACAACGTAGCCTTAACACGACACACATCATCACAACATTTAAAATAATTTTAAATTATAAAAATCATGCACATGTTAATGTAACAATAGTTACTAGGGCAATTTGTTTAATCCACCTAGGGCAGTGGTCATTCTTTAATTTTTCCTATTTAAAAACAAGCCAATTTTTTCTAATGGGTATTTTTTTTTTTTTTTTCCAATTTTGCACTTAGTTCTATGGTGATTCCCGTATAAAATTATC